GGCGCTGTCTCTTAAATATGTCCACGCTGTGTCTTAAAGTCAGCGTGTTGTTAACATATATTTAAACATTACAGTCGATGATCTCTGATGGGAAGCTTCTTGTCTTCATGTATAAGTTAGACCGAGCATTTCTGACGACATTAACGTATGGCTAAATAATAAATACAGTAGGTATATTATTTATGTTTTGTTTCAACGCAGCTCATAATTTATGGCTCATGTTGACCCGATGGATTTGACATTAACAAACTGAGAGGTTCGCCCCGACACAGGAGAAACACGGAGAGACTGATACTATATTTGACTCATTATTCACATTATTTGTTTGTCTTTTATGGGAAACTACACACATATAGTAAACCTTTCTTGATGTTTTGACTGGTTAAATAAACACTAAGATGGTAAATAACAGTATTTAGGGAAACACAATAAGCATACGCAGCATTTCCAGGATCAAAACCTTTTTAATTATAATGGGCAATATAAATAAATCCATATAACTAAGTACACATTTTAAGTACGTGTACTTCATTCGAGTATTTCCATTTCCTGCTTCTTCACACTTCATACTTCTACTATAAGCATCAGAAAGATACTTTACAAAATATAATAAATCAAAGTAAATATAATCAAATGTATTATCTGTTATTTAAGTCTTACAAAAAATGCATTCATCCCTTGGTTTACATCACAAGCTAGTATACAAGAAGTATTTGTAATCACTTATAATATAATATCATGTGAAACGAAAATAGGGAATATCCAAACGAGTACTTCTACTTTAAGGTACTTTGATACAGATACTTTTGCACTCAAGAAACATTTCTAATGCAGGACTTTTACTTTTTATACTGAGGTTTTCCTACTTTTACTGGGGAAGAATCTCTGTTGTATTGTTTTAAGTGTCGGACCCCAGGAAGAGTAACTTTTGTCGAGAGCAAAAGCTACTGGGGATCCTTAATAAACATAACATAAACATAAAATAAACATAACCTCAACGCGCGAGGAGGAGGAGGACATGTTCGCATCCATTATTGTTTCCGTCTGAAGTGTCAAAATGTTTTCTTGGAAATGAGAAAAAGATTGTTTTAAAAGCCCGACACATTAGTCTCTGAAACAACAGCTGTAATTACACCTCAGTCAGCAGAACGCCACTTTCTCTCAAGTGGAAAAGCACAAAGAAAGCTTTCTGCAGACGCTGTTGCATCGAGGCCTCTGAGCACAAAGCTAATAGCCACTGATCTCACGCTGATCCCTCGGTATATCAGCAACATATTCCCGCTTCTCTCCGGGAAAAGAGGAGAACGGTATATCAGCAACATATTCCCGCTTCTCTCCGGGAAAAGAGGACGTTTCTCTGTCTTACTTTGAACTTCCTGAATCAGATTTACACTCAATACTTCCTTTCTCTTTAGACTAGCACAGAAAAGGCTGCATTGATTCTCACTCCTCTCAGATGTAATCTAAAAAGTGTATCTTTTATGACAGTTCCATATTTTTCACACAAAAAGCTTTAAAATTAATAAAGAAAGTAAGAAAATGGGATCTTATTAACAGATGTGTCGGTGTGCATCTCTTTGGAAAGCTCCCTTACATCTTTTTAAACTTATTGGAAGAACCTTTTATTGTATACCTGACTTTTTAACGTCTGTAAATTATTAAAAACGCCTTTTATCCATCCCGAATATTATCAGACATCTTGGCAATAGTCTCCCAAAAGATCTGCTTGAATCCTACGCAAGAGCAACTAAGGGCTGCCTCACTAAAAAGTTAACAGCTTCAACTTTTCACCCCCTGCTGTTACAGGATCAGCGTTTTCACGGAGCTTCTCGCTGCAGGTCGTGCATGTATTTGTGTAGAATAAACACCGTGACAGTGATGCAGTGTATGACCTGTGTGGATGTGACACATGTCCTCTCCCTCTCTCGTCCTCTCTCAGTGAGGAGAGGAACATGCTCTCTCTCTGCGCTCCACAGCCTCCTTGTTCTCTCAGCATACTGTGGGGATCCTCCGCAGCCGCCCAGGTGTGACTGCATGTCAGAAGTCCCACAATTACACCCTCCTCTCCTCCAGACCCTGTTATTAACCCCTGCTGAGGTACACAGATGCTGTCATGCATTCAGATTTCAGGTG